AACAACATAGGGGGAACTGCTGCTTTTTCCTTCCTCATCCTTACTATCGTTGTTTTCCTCTACTTCTTTGGTATGTTTGTCACTCTCTTGTGAACTGCTATTTCCGGGATGCCTTGATAGTCGAAGCAGACTTTGTGCTGTTGAGGCTAGAGAGGTGAGCAGAGTAAGCCTGATTCCCCGTTTGGACTTTTCTGTTGATATCTACCCCTTGGCTCTCGTATGACCTTATGCAGTTGCGAGCGCCGTTAAACCTTACTAAAACCTTACTAAAACTTTCTCCAACTCAGATGTCGGAGGATAAGATCATCTCGGAGGAGGCGCGACTGGAACTTTTCTCCACCATCCTGGCCAAGTGTGACAACAGACGGTTCTTTGTCTCCCTCTCCAAGATCCTCATTCTGTGGCCGGCCTTTTCTTGTCCATTCAGGTATGGGATGTACAGTTAAGCAGAGTTGCTGAATTTCTGGAAATGTGGATTCCTGAAATTGTGCGGATTTTTACCCAACTTGAGGCCAATCGTTGCAAAGTAGATGTACTTTATATAAAAGCATTATTGCTACGATTCGTAAACTTGAGTTCCTGCAGGCATTTTCCGCAGGGTCTGAAGAATTCATTATTTTTTTTCGCCGTCAATTTGTAGCTCATTTAGAACATCGATAAAGACTGTCTGTGGGAGACACATTGGAAGAAACAAATTAACAATTAACTAAATAACATCATGCCCAAACTGGGTCCATGAAAACTTTCGGGCCTCTCCAGAAGAGACGAAGTCATCTGTACTCGATGACGTATCAGACACACCTCCCTTACCCACAAATACCTTCATCAGGGAGATGAGAAGCCGTTCTGTGTCGTATGCGACACAGATTTACCATTAGACACATCTTAACAGAATGTCCACTCTTTGGGGAGACCGGAAGAAAGTATTTTTCTTCGTCATTGATCCCAACAGAATTCTTGATTTTATAAAGGCCATTGGCCTCTACAGTAAATTGTGAATAACGTTATTTAAAATGTTATTTTACACCAAGATTTTATGTCATGAATTTTTAACATTTTAATAGAAATATTGACCAAAATCAAGCCGTGCTGTGAGCTATTGTGAATGCAACCAACTTGTGTTTCTCACGCTCTTATGACCGTATGCAGTTGCGAGTGCTGTAAAACTCTCACTAAACTAAACATCGATATAGGACATGGGGCTTGCATCACCATCATGAATGTTAGACACTATCACCCGGTGAAAAATACTGTGTCTTAACTTGTTCTTT